TATGATGTTTTGATGAACATGAACATCTTGTAATGATCAAATTGGAGTGATTACCACATCTATCACCTTAAACATTGATCATTTCTTTGGGGTAGAATATTTAAAATCCTTGGTGATAGCTATTTTGAAATAATTTTTGCTTCAACTACCACACAGTTAATAATTTAAGAGGAGAAAGCAAGTTGACAGTACTTACCCACATTTATGTTTATTAGTTTGTTCTTCCTTCCTGATGCTGCAAGATTCTTTCTTTTGTCATTTTATGTTTGAAGATCTTTTAAGCGACTGTTTTAGGGTATGCCTGCTGCCTTTTTGGTTTTACTTCATCTGAGAATGTCTTGACTTCTTCATTTCTGAGGACTGTATTTGATGAATATATAAATCTGTGTTGTTAGATCTTATCTTTCAGCAATGAAAAAATGTTGTTCTGCTTCCTGCAGGCCTCTGTGCTGTTTTTATCTATACATAAATGTAATTTATCTCTTGTTACTTTTAATTTTTAAAATTTTCTTTAGTTGTCAGGTGTTTCAGTTAGCTTTTTTACTGCTGTGACCAAAAGATCTGGCAAAAAAAAAAAAATAGAGGAAGAAAAGTTCATTTTGGGGCTCATGGTTTCTAAGGTCTCAGTCCTTAGAACAACAACCAGGTTCATTGCTCTGGGCCTAAGGCGAGGCAGAACATCATGGCAGAAGAGTGGAGTGGAAAAAAGTAACTCAGGACATCATACCAGGAAGAAGAAAGAGAGAGACCCTCCTCATTGTGGACAAAATATATACCCCAAAGGCATGCCCCCAATGACCTCCCTTCTCCAGCCACACCCCCACCTGCCTTCAGTTACCACCAAGTTAATCCTTATCAGGGGATTAATGCACTGGTTGGATTAAGGCTCTCATGACCCAATCATTTCACGTCTAAGCCTTCTTGCATTGTCTCACAATGAGCTTTTGGGGGACACTTCATATCTCAACTATAACATCAGGAGCTTGATTATGTTTTAACTGGGCATAGATTTATTTTAGGGGGGTCCTGTCCTTTTAAGGGTTTGCTTGGCTTCTTTAATCTTCAAGTTTATATCTTTTACCAAAATTCATTCATTATTTTTTGAATAGTTTTTCATCTCTTCCTTTTTTCTCCACCCATTTTGAGGTTCTCCTGACATAAATGTTAGATCTCTTTTTTTTTTCATGTTCAAGGTCCTTCAAAGTTTGTTTGTTTGTTTGTTTTAACAGCTCAGTCTTATTTTTTCTCTGTTGTCCAGATGGACAACAATTTCTGTTGTGCCTTCGAGTTCACTGATTGTTTGTTTAATATTCTCTGTAATGTTATTGTGGCCATATATTTTTGTTGTTGTTGGTCTCATTTTAATTTCTAAAATTTCCACTTGGTTTTCCTTTACTTCTTTACTTCTTGTATTTATTTTCTGAGACTTGATTTTTTTTTCATTTGTTTCAAGTGCGGTTGTAATCGTTTGATGAATAATTCTTACAATGTTTGCTTTGAAACCCATGTCACATAGTTTCAAGATTCATGCAGTCTAACTGTTGACATCTGTTGATGGTCTTTTTTCATTCAAGGTGAAACATTCTGTGATGTCAAATATGTTGTTGGTGTTATGTCTGTATCTTACTTAGATCTTCCGTTTTAGCCTGCTTCCTCTGACCCCATGCTGTTGGGAAAGGGTTCATCATCTTGTTACTGCCAGGTACACCTGCAAGTCCAGGTTCCCTTTTCACCTCTACTGACATTTCAGAGGAAGAGTGAAGCTGTTTTATTGCTGAGTGAGGTGGATGCTGTGTCCCCCACTAGATCTTCCCTGGTAACACCAGGAGGAGGAGAGCATTGTTTTTCTTCTCATGTGACTTCCATAGATCTGCTGACATGGTGGGCTGAGGTCTTATTAATGCTGGAAGGTGGTAAAACCCTGGGCTTCCCTCTTGGTCTCTTCTGAAGTTCCCCAGTGCAGGAAAGAGGACCTCCTCCCTTCCAGGTAGAGTGAGGGTTCGTGATTCCCATTTCTCTCCACTCACCTCATAGGAGGGGAGCCTCTGAACAGCCTGGGGAAGGTGAAAGTTCTGTTCCCCCACTTGACCTTTGCCCAGGGGATGGAATGCAACTTTTAAAGAATTTCCTGTGGTATTTGGTTGGAGCTAGGCAGCTGTTCTCTAAAAAGATTTCTATCTGACTGCGCTGACCTTTCTCTGGTCCTTTGGTTAGACAGAGCAAGCTTTTGTTGAGGTCTTTCTTATTTTAGGGGTCTCCTGTCCATTGAGTTTCCCATGTGTGAGCTTCCCACACATGAGGGACCTAGGAGGGGAAGCTCACTGCCAGGACATACTTCAAGGTCCCAAAGTCCCCAGCGGGTCTGCTCTCTCCCCTTCAAGGTCTTCAGCGCCCTCTTGTGTTTGCCTTATATCTAATGACCAGGCTTGTTAGCTGTGCCTGGTGGGAAGGACAAGAAGAACTGTACCTATTTCATCTTTCTCCAGAATTCAAGTCTGTTCTATAGTTTCTGAGAATTAAACAATGATATTCTATTCTCTAGTAAATCTGTATTTGTGTTATTCAATTCTTCACCATCAAATGCATCTTCTGATCCAAAAAACAGGCACTCCATTCTCACTCTGTGGTTTTGTACTAAAACTCTGGTCGGCAGACACTCTGAGGCAGGTGCCTGACTGGGGGCTAGCATTTGCTGAGGGCTCATTGATGTGGCCAGACCATGTTCTAATGAACTGACACAGGTGGACACATGCAATCCTCATAACAACCTTGGTAAGTAGGTACTATTATTACTGCATATTATAGATAAAGAATTGGAATCATCGAGATGTTCAATACTTTCCCCAAATAGGGATTTGGACAAAAGCAGGATTGAAAATAAGAATTGTTAAATTGTATTTTCTGTTACCTATCTATATTGGGGGTCTGCATGTATGGTTTGAAGCTAGAAAAATATCAAAATGTAATCTCTGCTTCTTAGTGGTATTGGTCTTTACTAAATTTCTTAATATGTCCAAACTTCATTCCCCCCCCCATCTCTATGTAAGAGATAATATGAAATGCCTTATTTTGTTTAGAAAATAATAGAAAACATCCATATCTATGTTTATGTGGTTCTTAGCATATGGCAGATATTCAGACAGTTATTTAGTTTTTCATGGAGTGTCTTCATTGTTATAATTTGTCTATATTCACAGGGAAGCAGTGTATGTAATAATTAAAAATATGAACATTAGAACTGGCCTGAGAGAGGTTAGATTTTCACACTATATAAAACTAGCTAACGGTCCCGGGCAAGCCAGCTTCCTTCTCCAAATCCCCTCTGCATAGTGGGTGTGATGATGCTAGATTCAGGAGGTGATAAAGCCAGTGATGGTGCCATGTGAATGCAGAGCTTAGATATTGTAGATACTTAGAAAGGAGTGACAGTGATGCTGATGGAACCTAAGTACTTGCACCAATCCCTAGGTGAAGCTCCTTCCAGGGCTGGTGCCATCCCTGAGAAACCAGTGGCTCTCCTTTTCTTCTGCACAGGAGAACCGTTCATGAGGAACTTTCTCCAGGCTTGGGATCCCCAAGAGCCAGGTCTGATTTCTGTGGGATCTATTCCTTGGCAGTGTCGATTTTCTTCTGAAACATGGCCAGGTGTCTCAGAGCCCCAGCTGGGAGAGTCAATATTCTCTTGACAGTGACCCATTCTACAAAATGTATCAGAGGGGAAAGAAGGTGTTTCTTTTCCATAGAGGCTTCTGATGGTGTGTATGATGCCTCATGTTGACCATAGATTTTGGTTTTTTGACCACAACTGACATTTTGCTAATATGCTTTACAAAACCAAAGTGGATAAATCCCTGGACATTTAAATAGCTTTCTTGAAAACTACTTTTATTTTTAAATTAGTTGCTCATGACAATACAATGATCTTGACATATCATACATTTGAATCAAATGGAGTATAATTTCATTTTTCCAAGTGTACAGGTTGCAAGATCAAAGAAACATGTTCACAAGAGAAACTCAGAGCATCCTATTGCTTCTTGAAATATCCAAGTTTGCCCCAGGATTTAAGGAGCCCTTTCACTCATGAATGTGATTCCTGTGTTGAATTACAGCTTTGTAGAGAGAACCTTGCTGTGGCTCTTTCTGAATAGCTTTGTCTCATGTCCATGGCCAGGAAATGAAGAGTGTCATAATCCCTATAATTATAATTATCACATACTAGGTTCTTGCTGTTGAACACTAAAGCCTTTTGGAATCAAAACTAGGAGCTTTGCAGGGACTCTCTTTAGTGACAAAGCAACATTACTCAATGGCTACAAGGTGTGGATTCCAAACACCGAAGGGAAATCTATGAGAATTTGTAAGTTAAGATAAGAATTTGTGGAAATATGTGTGTGCTGGGTGGGGGTGCTCACAATGAGGGGACCTTTCATCTTCTTATGACTGTTTTACATTGGTGCATACCTATTCAGACATCTCACACCTCACCAAATACAGGAGGAAATACCGTTCATCTCTCTTACCCTTCTTAGATGAGAGAAGCCCTTATCTTTCAATCCTATCTCTCAAACTCCCCCAACATTAAGTGTAAGGGGCTTCAGGAGTCAATGGGAATGTGGCCTCTCCAGGAAATCTCTAGAGAAGGATAATTGAAACTTGACACAGCTGAAGGAAACATGCAGAGATGTAAATAGTAGCCCAATACATGACATTGATAGTGTGAGTAGAAGACCCTTTAATCTTGTGAATGGATAAACTAAAGCTGCAAATATCCATGACAAAAAATTTTAAGTGGATGGGTTTCAAATAAAATTGCACACAACGGGAGATAGCTAATAGAAGCATGCATCTTCATCATCTAAGCTAAAACTAGTTTAATTTCTAAAAACAAAAAATAATAATGGTTATATTCTTTGGCAGTAACATAATAATAATGAGTCCACATTTCATGGTTCTCACCAGACACTACATGCCATAACCCATCTCTTTTTGTATTTTAGGTTGGGCTTCCCGATGATGGTGGTGTCCTGCACTGTTGGGATGTGTTATCTCCTTGTTGCTCATGTTGTAGTGGGATGGAATGAATAGGTATCCATCAAAGGAAGATTAAGGGATACCTGGTCCATCACCAACATCTGACAAAAAACTACCCCAGGACCACTCTTTGGAGAAGAAAAGGCTTATCCTGGAATGGTGCTGCATGGAGATGTGCTGGAACGGACCTTTGGCATTCACACACACTCTTGATTGAATGAATGCTGGAAAATCATGGTGTTCTCTTTATGCTATTTCTCCCTGAGATGGGGTTGGCAGGGGGACAAAAGTATAGGCAACACAAGATAACTTACCCAAGAGTCCCCTACTGGAAAATATGTATGTTTCAAAAACACTTCTAGCTATCCTGTGTAGAAAAAGGCACAAATCTACTCAAAATAGCTTGTGCTATTCAATTGTCACTTCTCCTGAAACTAAAGACAGTTTTTCTTTATGTATTAAATTTTCATGTTAAAATAATCAGCATTCAAATGGTGTGCCCCTGAATATAGATTCTTTCTGGGAAAAAAAAAAGCATACCACTTGTAAGGAAACATTTCATCTATTTTTTAAAAAATAAAGTGTTCCTTGACAAAAGGTTTTTGGAATTTATTAGTTTCTTGGGTTTTAAGTAGTTTACATTATGTTACATTTTCATTTTCTCCATTTACATTCTTCTCTGGAGTGTTTAAGTTATCATTTAAAAGTCTAGAAATTTGACTTGCAGAAGATCATAAGTGTCTTTTAAATAACAATTTACATATCTACCAGCCAAGAGTAATAATTTTCCACTTTGAAAGTCAGGCATGCTATTTCCATCAATCACAAAGAAGTGTGGTTGATATACTCAGCTAACTCCTTCCCGTGGGACTCTGATGTTTCAGTCAATGTTTATTAGATGTGGTTCCTTTCTGGACCATTCCATTTGAGTCTGAAATAATGAGAAGAGAGGCAGAGAGAGCCTCTTTAGCTGAGAGAGTGCTTTAGCTTAGGTCTGCTCTGCTCTCCTTCATCAATGCCATGGCTGGGCCCAAGAGGAAGACCTCTTCTTTCATTTTTGGTTGTCTGTGCACAAAAACTTGAGATGGAAATGTTTACTGGGAACTCTGCTCAGAAGTAACAATTGTAGAACATGTCTAACATCAAAAAAAAGTTTAAGATGCTGATTGCACTAAAAACTGGGAAGTAGGAGACCTTTTTAGTTCCATTTCTGTAGCTGACACCCCCCAGGCATGGGCAAGAGTATGCACTTGTGAAGGGCAATCTGCATCCGTTCTAAAAGGTAGGGAGACTTTATGAGAATGTACTGTCTGGATTCATGAGTCATCTTTGAATTCCTTGACAGCAAAGGTGACATGTAAAGCCTGTTCTTTCATTTTTTTATTGATTTAAAAAAATGACAGCAGAATGCACTACAATTCTTATTACACATATATACCACAGTTTTTCATATCTCTGTATATAAAGTATGTTGACACCCAATTTGTGTCTTTATACATGTACTTTGGATGATGATGTCTATCATCACATTTCACCATGATTGCTAATCCTCTGCCCCCTCCCTTATCCTCCCACCCCTCTGCCCTATCTAGAATTCATCTATTCCTCCCATGTTCCCCCTCCCTACCCCACTATGAGTCAGCCTCCTTATATCAGAGAAAACATTCGGCATTTGTTTTTTTGGGATTGGCTAACTTCACTTAGCATTATCTTCTCCAACGCCATCCATTTACCTGCAAATGCCATGATTTTACTCTCTTTTATTGCAGAGTAAAATTCCATTGTGTATATATGCCACATTTTTTTTATCCATTCATCCACTGAAGGGCATCTAGGTTGGCTCCACAGTTTAGCTATTGTGAACTGTGCTGCTATAAACATTGATGTGGCTGTGTCCCTGTAATATGCTGTTTTTAAGTCCTTTGGGTATAGTCCAAGGAGAGGGGTAGCTGGGTCAAATGGTGGTTCCATTCCCAGATTTCCAAGGATTCTCCATACTGCTTTCCATATTGGCTGCACCAATTTGCAGTCCCACCAGCAATATATGAGTGAACCTTTTTCCCTACATTCTCGCCAACACTTATTGTTGTTTGTCTTCATGATAGCTGTCGTTCTGACTGGAGTGAGATGAAATGTTAGAGTAGTTTTGATTTGCATTTCTCTAATTGCTAGAGGTGATGAGAATTTTTTTCATATATTTGTTGATTGATTGTATATCCTCTTCTAAGAAGTGTCTGTTCAGGTCCTTGGCCCAGGGATATAGCTCAGTTGGTAGAGTGTTTGCCTTGCATGCATAAGGTCCTCTGTTCAATTCCCAGCACCACCAAAAAATAAACAAACAAAACAAAACAAAAAACAGCAAAACCTGTTCTTATTTTAAAATGTGGTCTCAGATGACACCCCACGGATCCATCTGTGTGCCACTGACCTTGCGCTCTGTAGAAGACCCCCCTGCCCCACCATGTTTGTCAGTGCAGGGAAGCGCTTCCCAGCTCCGTGTCCTCTTTACTTGGCCTCTTGGAAGCTTAGATACCCTGACACCCTTTCACTAAAGGCATTGTGTCCCCCTCTGTCCTACATGTTTTCTGCCTAGAGGTGACACTGATGTCTCCCTTGCACCTTGTGCTGCCTCCAGGTCACGTCTGTTCTTTCAGTGCCTCTCTCCTATAAAAACTCGAGCCCTTCTCTCCACCTCCTGCCTCTCCGCAACCCTTCAGTTGTCCCTTCTAATTCCAAGGCCTTAGCTCATGGCTCATTTCTCCCCTCTTACTCCTCATACCCCTTCAGACTTCCCTAACAAGCAAATATTTGATTTCTGTGACTCGCACCAACTTCCTTGTATTCGATCTCTCTATCACACCCTAATCGTGGTCCCTAGTACCTGCATTTTGAGTCCTTCATCTCAGGTCTCTCTCTCTCTCTCTCATACATCCATGTTTCTGGCTTTTTACTCAGGTAACCTTGAGGGTGTCCCCCAAGGGTTCACGTGCTGGAAGCTTGGTTCTCAGCATGGCAATGCCAGAGGACAGTAGAACCTTTCACATTGGGGCCCATAGGGACCTGGTGAGGTAACTGGAGCCATTGCCTTCTGTGTAGACAGGAAGCTGTGGGAATTGAGAGTCTTCTCCTTCCCTCCCTGTGACTTCTCTCAGTTCTCACATTGGCTGAAGCAACCGGAAGCCAGAGGGCAAAAGGAAGTGTTAACACTGTCCATACAGGTCAGCGTATTTGGACTAAGAGCAGGAAGACCAGGATGGAAGGACAGATGGAAGATACTCAGCTCCATCCACTGTTTTTGCTCCTCAGCCAAGGAAAGGCTCACTTCTGAATAAAGGAGACATTGAAATTGTCAACGGCTTTCCTGTCATTTGGAGGTGACAAAAGCTTGTCCATACTCCCTCCTGATCCTTTCTCCAGAATTCGTAAGGGAAAAAATCCAATGCATGTGAAATCCTGTTTCATGATGATTTTAAGACAACATTGGAGGAACAACTCATGGCTTTGTTAGGCAGTTGGACTCTCATAAGCCAGTGGTCCTTGTAGTTTTCCTGACCCCTGATCACAAACTCTAAAAGTCACAGGGACCATGAGAACACACTTTCATAGTCTGAAGTTACCATGAGAATTCAGATGAGGGTGTATCTGCCCCTCTGTTCTACATGAGGATTCTGTTCTGCTTGAACTCACATTATTGGGGTATACTTTGGACATGGGGCCATCCATGGGTGTGGGATGAAGGAGAGAGGTGGAAAAGCTGCAGAATCAGCCACTCAGGGATTTGAGTTACTTCCTACTGCAATTTGTGTATATCTTCTAGACCTATTCAGATAGTTCTGGTCTGACAAACTTCATAGCCAAAGATCAATGTGTATGTCCAATTTGATGATTCAGTGGCTCAGTGTGTTAGTCAGCTTTGTGTCACTATGACAAATTACCAGAGATAAGCAACTTAAAAGGAAAAAGATTTACTTTGGTTAATGGTTTCAGTCTGTGGTAGTTTGCTGGCTTCATCACTGTTGGGCCAATGGTGAGGCAGAATATTATGGCAGAGTTATTTCTATAAAAAATGACCTACAGAGCAGGCATTCCTCACACCAGGAACAGAGCCTGTTCTATTAGGAGGTGGTGGAGCCTTTAAGAGCTGGGGCCTAAAAGACATTAGGTACTTGGGGATACGTTCTTGAAGGGGATATTGGGGCCCCATCCCCTTCCTCTCTCCCTCTTCCACCTCTCACTTGCCATGGGGTAAGCAGCTTCTAAGCTCTCCCTTCATGATGTACTGCCTCATTACAGGCCCACAGACAGTGAGCCAGGGGTGTCCACAGATGGAAATCTCTGCCATAGTGCATCAAGAATAATCATTTTGTCCTTAAGTTGTTATCTCAGGTATTTTGTCACAGTGTCAGAGAGCTGAATAACACACCAGTCGTCAGGTTCAATGTAAAATTCCCACAAAGCCTGCCTTTGCTTATGTCAGCCTTCCTTATCTGCAGTTTCCACAACCACCGATTTAACCAACCGAGGATTGAAACTATTAAGAAAAAAACTGTCTGTACTGAACATGTATAGACTCTTTTTTCCCTTGTCATTATTCCTTAAATAATTCAGCATAACAACCATTTACATAGCACTTATGTGGGTATAGATTATTATAAGTAACCTAGAGATAATTTAAAGTATGGGGGGATATATGTATGTAATAGGCAAATACTATGTCATTTTATATAAGGGGCTTGATCATCCAGGATTTGAGTGTCTGTTCAGAGTCCCAGAGCAAATCTCCTGAAGATACTGAGGGACAACTTTAAATTCTGCTGCTCCTTTTCATGCCTTATTTTAATGAATTAATCAATTTATTAAAAGGCTACTGTCTTCCTCCCAGCCCCACCCTGAGCAATGCAAACAGTTTTGGATGGCCAGGGGAAGGGGATAGGGGGCCATAGAATGACCACATCTTACTCATTGTCTTTAATTGTTTTGCCTGTAATCACTAGCATTTCTTTGGTAAAAGGAGCACTAAAATAAGGGGCACAGGTTCTACATGAACAGGTCCTGCCAGTTGCAGGGAGACTGATCTTTGCTGACCTTTAATTTCTTTCTCATACTCTTTTTTTTTTTTTGGATCCTGCAGTGGTAGCAAATCAATGAGAACTTTCACAGAGGGAAATAGATTTTAGGGAAACATCTGTTAGAGGGAAGAAGCTTCTAAAGACCAGAAGCCGAGACACGGCTGGATGTGATGGTCTGCAGTGTGCTCTGGCTGGACCAGGTGAGGGTTGGGGACTGCAGTGTCTCCAGGCAGCTGGTGTGCCGGAGTCTGGGGAGTCAACCTCTTTCCCCTAGGTGGCTGATGGGATTCCTTTGCTGGTGCTAACAGGATATAAGTTGTGCCTGGAAAACAGAGTTTTGATGAAATGCACTTTCTGTATCATACTGAGGCTCCTGGCCTATGGACAGCAGGAATTTAGTGGCTGACCTCACCAAGTACTGGTCTCTTGGGCCCCTATTATATTTCTGAATCTCACACTTGTGTGGGCCGTGTATGACCCGAAACGATTCATGTCCAGGAGTGCCACAGTACACTGG